AAACTATTTAAACCGACAACTTAAAGAACTAGAAAACAATAAGAAAAGCCCAGAGTAGTAAGTAGAAGGAAGGAAATAATAAAGATTAGAGCAAAAATAAATGACATTAAGACAAAAACAAAACAAAACCAAAAAAAAAAAAAAAAAAATCAATGAAACCAAGAGCTGGTTCTTGGAAAGGATAAACAGGATTGATGAGCTGTTTGCCAAACTCATCAAAAAACAAAGAGAAAAGATCCAAATAAATAAAACCAAAACCGAAAACAGAGAAGTAATAACCGACACCACAGAAATACAAAAGATTGTAAGAAAATACTATGAACAACAATATACCAACAAGCTGGACAATGTGAATAAAATGGACAAATTCCTAGGAAAATACAACCTATCAGGAAAAAATCAGAAAACCTGAATAGGCCAATAACAATTGGAAAAATTAAAGCAGTAATAAAAAAATAAAAACTCCAGCTGAAACCGGTTTGGCTCAGTGGATACAGCATAGGCCTATGGGCTGAAAGGCCCTGGGTTTGATTCTGGTCAAGGGCATGTACCTTAGTTGCGGGCACATCCCTGGTAGGGGGTGTGCAAGAGGCAGCTGATGGATGTTTCTCACTCATCGATGTTTCTAACTCTCTATCTCTCTCTCTTCCTCTCTGTAAAAAATCAATAAAATATATATTTAAAAACAAAATCTCTAGCAAATAAAAGCTCAGGTCCAGACAGCTTAACAGGGGAGTTTTACCAAACATTCAAAGAACTAACACCTATACACTTCACACTATTCCAAGAGGAAGAAACACTTCCAAGCTCTTTTTATGAGGCCAGCATTATATTAATTCCAAAACCAGAGAAAGACACTACAAAGAAAGAGAATTAAAGGCCAATATCCCTGATGAATATAGATGCTAAAATCCTCAACAAAATATTAGCAAATCTGATCCAGCAATATATTAAAAAGACCATACACCATGATCAAGTGGTATTTATTGCCGAAACCGGTTTGGCTCAATGAATAGAGCGTCGGCTTGGGGACTGAAAGGTCCTGGGTTCAATTCCGGTCAAGGGCATGTACCTTGGTTGCAGGCATATCCCCAGTAGGGGGTGTGCAAGAGGCAGCTAATCGATAACTCTCTCTCATCGATGTTTCTAACTATCTCTCTCTCTCCCTTCCTCTCTGTACAAAATCAATAAAATATATTTAAAAAAAAAAGTGGTATTTATTCCAGGGATGCAAGGCTGGTACAATATTTGCAAATCAATAAACATAATATAATACATAAACAAATTGAAAAACAAAAATCACATGATCATATCAATAGAAACAGAAAAAGCATTCAACAAAATCCAACACCCATTTTTTATAAGAACTCTCAGCAAAGTGGGAATAGAGAGAGCATATCTCAACATGATAAAGACCATATAAGATAAACCTACAGGGAATATCATACTCAATGGGCAAAAACATACGACATGATATCTACTCTAATAAAAGATAACGATGCAAATTGGCCACACCTTTATGACCCCCACCAATCAGGAGTGGGTATGCAAATTAATCCACCATAGATTGTGGGTTAATTTGCATATGCAGGCACCAAGTGGCTGGGGGTGGAGCAGGACACCTGTGTCATCGCCATGGTGACAAGCAGGCATTCCACACTGCCTCCAGCTGCTCCAGGACTCTGAGCAGCATGGGAAGGTAGAAAGGTGGCTCAGACCAGAGCAAAGGCAGAAAGGCAGCTCTGGGCCAGAGCAAAGGCAGTGTCGGTAGCCAGGGGAAGGAAGGCCCATTCTTACATGAATGTTTGTGCATCAGCCTCTAGTCTATATATATAAAAGGCTAAGCAACCATCTGACCATCTGACTGGCCAGTAGGTACGATGTGCACTGACCATCAGGGGGCAGATGCTCAATGCAGGAGCTGCTGAGCTGCAGTTACTGACAGCAGTAGTTCTTGGGTGACGCAACCCTGATCTAGAGAGGAGGGAACCCGATTCCTCATGAGGCCCCACAATTCCACCAGGCTGTGGCTGGGATATTTCTTTTAATTAATTTCCTTTCAATGTGCACAAATCTGTGCACCAGGCCACTAGTTGTACATAAAAAGCCCTAAAGACTCTACCAAAAACTACTAGATTTAACTAATGAATTTGGCAATGTAGCAGGATACAAAATTAACACCCAGAAATTGATGGTATTTTTATTCACCAAAAATGAATTAGACATTGAAAAAAGAGATAGAGGAAGATATAAAAAAGTGGAAGAATATACCATGTTCATGGACTGGTAGAATTAACATCATTAAAATGTCCATACTACTCAAAGAAATCTACAGGTTAAATGCAATCCCTATTAAAATGCTAACACCATCCATATTTCACAGATCTAGAACAAATACTCCAAAAATTTATAGGAAACCAAAAAAGGCCCTGAATAGCCACAGAAATCTTAAGAAAGAAGAATAAAGTTGGAGGGATCATAATTCCAGATATCAAGTTATACTATGAAGCCACTGTAATCAAAGCAGCCTGGTACTGACACAAGAACAGGCATATAGATCAATGGAATAAAATAGAGACCCCAGAAATCAATCCAAGCCATTACACTCAATATTTGACAAAGGACGCAAGAATATACAATGGAGGCAAGATAGTCTCTTCTTACAGACTATCTTGGAGTTAGTCTAAATGGAGTTAGGAAAATTGGATAGATACATTCCCCCCCAAAAAAAGGAAACTAGGAAACTAGACCACCAAATTATACCATACACAAGAATAAACTCAAAATGGGTAAAAGACTTAATGTAAGTCATGAAGCCATAAAAATGAAGAAGAAACCATAATCTCAGATATGTCTCATAGCAATATGTTTGCAGATATATGTCCTAGGGCAAAGGAGAAAATAAACTAAGAAGAAAACAAATAGATGGTACTATATCAAAATAAAAAAGCTTCTGCACAAAATGAAAAGGGAGAATATATTTGGCAATGATAAATCAGATAAAGTTTTAATATCCAAAATATATAAGAAACTCATACAAGTTAACAAAAGGAAGATAACCAATCCAATTAAAAAAATGGGCAAATGACCTAAATAGACACTTCTCCAAAGCTAACATACAGATGGCCAAGAGAAAAAATGAAATATGAAAATATGAAAAAATGCTCAAAGTCACTGATCATCAGAGAGAGGCAAATTAAAACGATTGTGAAATATGGCCTTATACCTGTCAGAATGGCTATCATCAACAAATCAACAGACAAGTACTGGCGAGGATGTGGAGAAAAGGGAATCCTAGTACACTGCTGCTGGGAATGCAGACTGATAATATGGAGTTTCCTCAAAAAATTAAGTAATATGGAACTGCCATTAGACTTACTGGTCCCACTTCTAGGAATATATCCTAAGAACCCCGAAACACCTATTAGGAAGACTGTATGCACCCCTATGTTCATAGCAGCACAATTTACAAAAGCTAAGATCTGGAAACAGCCCAAGTGCCCATCAGCAGACGAGTGGATAAAAAGCTGTGGTACATTTACACCAAGGACTACTATGCAGTAGTAAAAAAGAAGGATCTCTTACCCTTTGGATAGTATTTTTTCCCCCTAAAGTTTTACATAAGTCTCCTTTTCCCCCAATTTGACCCACCCCCTCAGCCATTCCCATCCTGGGCAAGCCCCCACCGTCCCAGTGTCTGTGTCCATTGGTTATGCTAAGATGCATGGGTATAAGTCCTTTGGTTACTCTCTGATACCCCTCTCCTCCCCTCCCTGCCATTTGTCTCCGAATCTATTCGTTCATCAAATTATGTTGATCATATGAGTGAGATCATGTGACGTTTATCTTTCTCAACTGGCTAATTTCGCTTAGCATAATGCTCTCCAGTTCCATCCATGCTGTTGTGGAGAGTATTATGCTAAGCGAAATAAGCCAGTCAGAGAAAGATAAGTATCACATGATCTCACTCATGTAGAATCTAATGAACAAAATAAACTGATGAACAAAATAGATCCTGAGACATGGAAGCATGGAACAGACGGCGGAACCTCAGAGATAAGGCGGGGGAGGGTGGGTGGGAGGGAAGAAATCAAAGAACTTGCATGCATATATGCAAAACCCATGGACACGGACAGTATGGTGGTGAAGCCCTGGGGTGGGCAGTGGGGGCGGGTTAGAAAGGGTCAATGGGGGGGAAAGAGGATATATGTAATACTTTCAACAATAAAGATTTAATTTTAGAAAACGTTCTCTCTGCTCCCCCACCCAACATATGAAGTGAAGCAGGGACAGAATAATAGCAGGAAACATCCCCATTCAGAAAGAAAAATGGGAGACACACACAGTTATTGGTCCATAGTAATTCTAAAATCTTACTGGGCGAGGCTGAGAAGGTTCCCCCTCCCCCACCCCCGCCCCTCACCCCTTGTCTTTCCCCAGAAATGGACTGCTTCCTGGAACTGGCTCTCTAGTTCATCCTCCTCTGTGTGGTTGGTTTGCCCTCAGAGTGGCCCGTCCTTTTCTGTGTGGCCACATGGGAGGAGACACTGGGGCTCTGCCTTTCGGAGGTAGCACAGCGTTTCGGTCTCCTCTTTGCTCCTAGGAATTTGGGAGCACTCAGGGTCACATTTCTCCCCACTGAGGCATTTTATCTGAACGTATGTGGTACATCCCCAGAAAAAGAATCCCAGGACTATCCCTCCTGTGTGTTTTCATCTTGCTTCTTCATGGCCCCTGATGCCCGCTGAGGCTGTCAGTGCAATGAAACCAAGCTGACGGGACAGGAGCAGGCTGTTCTGCCGTTTTTCTATTCGGTTGAGTTGCGCGTCACATCTGGGACTGATGACTCCACACTTGTCTCACTTGCCTGTGAGGCTCACGATTTTCCCAGCTCTGTGGTCGTCAATAATTTCAAATTCACCAAAGTTACAGATGATGACTTTGGAGCCCAGCCTAACGGAACCAGATGTTTGCCTTTCTTTTCAGCATTGCTGATTCTCTGTTGTTTTTAACATCTCACGGATTTGCATGTCGTCCTTGCACAGGGGCCATGCTAACCTTCTCTGTGTTGTGGCAGTTTTAGTGTATGTGCTGCCGAAGCGAGCACAATACCTTCTTTTTTTAATTTAAGGAACAGACATGTATTTTCCTGCAGTTCTGGAGGATAGAGGTCCAAGACCAAGGTGCTGGTAGAGTCATCTTCCTCGATGTATCTTCCTTTGCTTTGCAGACTGTTGCCCTCGTGGCCTCTTCATGTGCCTGTCCCTCTGCTGGTGTGCACCTCTGGTTTCTCCTCATGTGTCCAAATTTTCCCTTCTTAGAAGGACACCAGGCAGAGTAGATCGAGCATGATACTCTTTTAATATATATTTTATTGATTTTTTTACAGAGAGGAAGGGAGAGAGATAGAGAGCTATTGTAGAAACATCAATGAGAGCGAAACATCAACCTGCTGCCTCTTGCACACCCCCTACCAGGGATGTGTCTGCAACCAAGGTACATGCCCTTGACCGGAATCGAACCTGGGACCTTTTTGTCCACAGACCAATGCTCTACCACTGAGCCAAACCGGTTTTGGCGAGCACGATACTCTTGAGAGCATCAGCCAGGGCACCATTATGGTGGCTCGAGAGTTGGTGGAAAGGCCACTCATGGTCTTTTAAAAATCCAAGCTAATGGCTTTCGTAGAGGGTAGGGTGCTTCTTACCTGTTTGATTCCTGTCAGCCAAATGGGCCAACAGCTAAACTCACATTTCTTTTCAGACATTCCTCCTTTTATTTATTATTATTTTTAAATATACTTTTATTGATTTCAGAGATGAAAGGTGAGGGAGAGAAACATCAATGATGAGAATCACTGATGGACTGCCCCCTGCATGCCTCCTACTGGCGACTGAGCCTGCAACCCATTCTTGACCAGGAACAATGACTTCCTAGTTTAGGGGTGTCGAACTCAATCAGAGAAGGGGCCAAAATCTAAAATCCAGCCTAAATCGCGGGCCGAATGGTTTACTGAACAGTCATAAACTGTCATTGTGATGGAAACGCAGCGGAGTGCAGTGATGACAGCGCGGTGCGGGCCACATTGCAAGGCCTGGCGGGACGGATTTGGCCCGCGGGCCTTGTGTTTGACACGTGTCCTAGTTCATAAGTCTCCTTGGGTATAAGATGAAAAGCGATGGCCCATCATTGAGCCACACTGGCCGGGCTGATCGGAGGTTTTCATAAAGGGCATGAGAGCCATACACTTGAAATGGCCCTTGTCACAAAGATGAGTTTTAATCAAACTTTGTGGCTTAAGAATCTTGTCAGTTTTAGCTTTCACTGGTTAAAATGTGGATCATTTGCCTGGAGTTTCAATATTCTCTTCCTTTTCTACTTAAAAACCGGCCAATTATTTTCTGAGCCAACTCTTTATTATAGTAACTTAGCAAATACACCCAATAGCAACTGATGCATGCTACTAATATTCTCGTTCCCGAAGTTTTTGCCTAAGGCTCCGAGCTCATTTGGATAGAATTTATATTCTTAGTTATTCCCAGCTTATATTGTAGTTTAACTAATTGCTTCATCACTGCATAACACCCATCGTCATCTTTCCAACTTCCAATGACAGTTTCCTCAGCAGCCACTGTCCAGCTCCAAGGTCAAAGTCATGTAATTCAGGTTTATTTTTCGTTGTAGCAGCAGCCGCTTCTGGGTGCTAGTTCTGTAACCGTCGGTTTAGACTCATGATGATGTGGTAACAGCCAATCTCCAAGCATCAGCGGCTCACAGCAAAAGTTCATTTCTCATCTACATTACACATCCTTTCACAGGTGGGCCGCAGCTCCTCTTCATGGTATCTTAGTTCTGGGCTCCAGGCTGAAGAAGTCTTGATCTGGCCATTGCTGGGCTCACGGCAGAGGGAAAAGAGAAGGGAAGCTACTGACTACTCACTGGTGCTTAAAGCATCATTTATATTTCTACTCACACCCCATTGGCCAAACCAAACCAGAGAGCCACGCCTATAACAAGTGGGGCATGAATGTCAAGTTCTGTAGTGAGGGCCCCACAGGAATGACAGTATTTGGAATAATTCACTCTACCACAGGGCTGGACCAGGCATGTCAGTCATTGAGTTCATCTACTCCTTCTTACACACTCTGCTATAGCACTTTGTATCATATAGCCTCACATATATCTTAGTCAAGGGTGAAATCTTGATTCATTATAGAGACAAATTATAGGCAGGCCAATGCAGCCTGACCTAGACCATCAGGTTCCTTTGCTTAGGCACTGAACCATAAACACTGAATGAAAGAGGCAGTGAGTAGAGAAAGATGCAGCTGGAAGCTCGTGATGCGAGATGGATTTGGAGAAACCACACCTAACCGAGACCCTGGTTTCTGAAAGGTGGGCTGACAGCAGCAGAGCCAGGATTTCAGTGCACACTGCTCTGAGCGTCCCACTCAGGTCAGCATCCCCCAGGGACGAGGAACACACAGGGAGCCTGTGAAACCTCCAGGGCGTGTGTCCCTTCGTCTGCTGGGTCTGCTCAGGCTTGCTGCTGCCTGTTCCAAACCTCCCATGGGTCCCCTAGCCCCCAGGAGAAGCCCAAGCTAATGAGCCTGGCATCCAAGACCTCAACCAAGCCATCCAGCCACCTCTTCCAGGAGGTTCTGACAGCTTCCTGAGGGAGACCAGTAAGCAGCCTTTTTGGGTGGCGCTGCCCAGCACGGCCAGACGGAAGTCAGATAGCACACGGACACCCGGCTGCACAGATGTGCATAAACTCTGGTGGGCCTGACAGTCTCTAGCAGATCCCAGTCGATGTCCCAGGCGGTGCCGTTTTGTCTGAGGGCAGAGCAGTGCGGGAGTAGATGAACAGGACAGGATTCTGCTGAGGATCAGGCTGCCGGGAAGAGATGGAGGATCAGGGAGGCCCAGGGAGGCCCAGTGGGTCTTCTCCTGGGGCAGAAGCGGGCGGCCGGCAGCTTCCCCGTGGGGTGGACGGCGATTGCTTGCACACGCTGAGAACGCGCTCTTTCCCGCGGAGTCTGGGATGTCATCTGCACACAGGGTGCGCCGTCTCAAGCAGGACGAAGGCGTGGGGCCCCTCCGGACTAGCGCAGCTGCAGGCTCAGCAGCCAGGGAGCGGAACCCTGGGGTCTTCTCCGAGAGTCCCCTCCCTGCCGGTCTCCCCTAGGCTCACCATCTTCTTCCCGCCTCTTTCGCGGGTTTGATCACGCCCCTTGCGCTCTGTGAGCCAATCACTTTTTGGTGCGACCGTGGACTTGCTCTGAGGCCCCCCCCTATCAACGTTCTCCATCCAAAGCGCCGTTTAATACTGGGGCGCTCAGCCCGCCAGGACGACCTCCAGGCCAATCCCGTGCTTCTCGGGAACAGCATTTGGGTCCAGTAGCCAATGTTTCCCAGTCGCAGCACATCTCAGCGTCTGCATACACTCAGGGCCAAGTACCCACACGAGCACCTTGCACAGGCCACCGCCACTCCAGGGCCCCCCAGGCATCACAGCCACGGATGGAGGCAGTGAAAGCAGGGGTTGTGTATCTGGGGGTCCCATCCCACCCTCGGGTCCCTCCCCCCAGTCCAGGTCAAAGAGGCCTGGGACCACACCAAGGACATCACATGGAGCCCTTCCACAACTGGGGTCACCACAGCTTCCACGTGTGTCCCCCACTCCGCGGCAGAAGCAAGAGATAGTGCGGCTGGATGCGGGGGGAGGGGGGCGCGGCAGCCAAGAGCAGCCTGAGGACCCAAAGTGGGTGGGACAGGGCGGCCAAACCCACCCTGAGACCTTGGGTAGTCAGGTGCTGCCTGAGCCCTAAAGCCAGGCATCCGGAGACAGGGCCACGCCCGCCCCAGAATGGAGGCACCTGCACTGGGAACAGGTGGGCCTGGAGCTCAAGGGCCTCATAAAAACCAGGCTCCTTGCCTCCGCCGCCCGCTGAGGCCACGACCCCTTAGAAATAGCGTGTGCTGGTCCGGAGCGGCCGGCTCTCCAGCTGAACTCTTACGTAAACGCAATGCCTTTCTCTGGGCCCGGGTCTGGCCTGTGGGACTGCCTGGCCACCTCCCCCTGAACTGGCTCCTCGTTTAACTCCACACAAACGGCAACGCTTCCGAGACAGCCCTTCCCGGTCCACTGCATCCCAAGTAACAGCTGCTACTCCCAATGCCTCTTCTTGTTGCCAGTGCCCACCGGTGGCCTCCCCGCCCGCCGCCCCGCCTGCCCATACATCTCACCTGGGTCCCAGCCTGGTCTGCCCGCTGCTCAGGGTTAGGCACCCACACTGGCCTTTCCCCAGCCACAGTACTGAGCCAGATGGGGTGTCAGCCCCTGGCCCACCTGTTCCTGGGGGAGGGGAAGGCAGCCTGCACAGTCACAGGGCCTGCGACAGCCTGACTGACACCTGCTGGCCTGGCCCGGCAGCACGGCCAGGAGGGGGGAAGCTGGGCACGCTGAGGCCCCGGGCCAGCCTTTCCAGGAACACACGTGCACAGGGGAGTCTCAACATTGTTTAATTTCTTACAAAACCACGTGTCCCATCCAAACAGGACAGTGCAGGCCCTCGCCAGCCATTGCGGCCCAAGGCGGGAGGCCCCCGGGAAGGGCCATCTGCCCCCTGCATAGGGCCAGCGTGAGGAGGGGGTCCGGCCGCAGGGTCTGTGCTGCCCTGCCCCGGCTGCTGGCAGAGAAGGCACACCCGGGTCCCTGGCGCTCTCAGTGCCTGCAGGGACGGAGGGAGAGGAGGGTCTGAGGGGAGCAGAGCTGGGCCCGGGTGGGGCAGGCCAGGGCCAGGCCCACGGCATCTCACCAAGAACACACGATGCCGTCAGGTCGTCACGGTGACGGCGATGATGATCACCAGGATGAGGACGAAGACGGACAGGCAGATGGCGATCAGCACCTTCTTCTGCGGGAGAGGAAGGGGTCAGGGCCATGCACCCGGGGGCGGGGGGGCACCCCGAGGGGCCTCACCTTCCGCGCCTTCCTCTGGTTCTCCAGCGCCTTCTTGACGTGCTCCTGCCCGCGCTCCACGTAGTCTGCGGAGCTCAGGATGTTCTTCTCGATCCGGTTGATCATCTCCCCCTGTCCGAGGA